ATATCTGTAAGTCTCATTGATGAGTCAGGCAGTCTAGTATACCATCAATATACTGTAAACCTGCATGGATTTACCACATATGTCTCTTAGAAGCCAGTTCAGCCCCAGGACGAATCCGCATTGGATTTACAGAGCACCATGTCATATTTCAACACAAATCCATAGCTCATGAATACTGGTAGCAAAACATACAGTCATAACTAGAAGGTTATTCCTTTTGGATGGAATCAGCAACCAAATCAGCAGAAAAATATGATGCTATATAATGAATCAGAGGCAATAGTTATTTCTAAATGAGAATAACTCAAATCCCCTTGCAGTCTGAAAGAGACATTATGAGTCACAGGGACCTCTGCAGGCAGTAAGATTTTGATTATTTGAAAGAACATTGTGCCAATAAACACAGATGAATTTGGTATTTAAGGGATGTAACTGAGTGACAATAAGATTTTTGTGGGTTCAAGCCCTATATTACGACTTTGAGCTCAGCATCTAGGCTGACAATCCAATACAGTGCTGGGAAAGCATAAAATCGTCATAGATGCTAGACTTCAGATGAGACATTAAACTGAGGTCCTGTATGCCCAGGCAGTTGGATGTTAAAGATCCCAAAAAGAAAAGGGAATTTAATTTGGTGTCGAAACCAACAACATCAAATGATAAAATTGATCATTCATTTCATGTCTGTCAGTGTGACTTTGCTGTGCACAAATTGGCTGCTGTATTCACCTACAAAATACACAGTCACTGCACATTACAGTAAATGCTGTGAAGCACTTTGAGACGTTTTGATGTTATGTCAAATGCAAAGATTATTATTATTATTTACTTCCAGAGAGAACAATTGTGGAGCCAACCATGGTAGGGAAATGAATTTTCAAATTACTGTAAGATCTTACAGAAGATTAATTCTCAGCACGCATTAATATCAGCATGATTAGCGTCTTTCAAAAGGCTTTTGCAATTTGTTGTTTTTCACAAAAACATTTGGATTATGATATTATTATCATCCCCTTAAATGATACAATGAGAAATGCTCACAGCATTCCTCATCCTCAAAGATCTTTCATTATGTGTCTGACCAATGAGATCCCGCAGTGGAAAAGCTAGATAAGAATGTTGGCTTAGAAATGACGGGAAATCATTAAACATATTGCTACTTCTACTATTCCTTTCTTTGTATGGGATTTAAATACAATTTAAAGATCACAAAGACAGATTCACCCCTCGTTCGGCAACACTCACTGATGAAATTGACTAAATTACCTTCCTCCTCCACCCCTGAAATATTAAATCTGCAAAGGTCAGGTAAGCATTCATTGAGCTCCAAATCCACAATATGACAAAGCATCTATTTCAAAGATATTAGCATGCAGTTCAGTGGTTTCTGAATGTTACTCTTGATACTAAAATTCAACTATAGTTCAATAAATACATGAAACTGTTATACAAATATCATAAATACAAATATGTAACACAGTCATTTCAGCACCCTTTTCAGTTTGTCTTTTGAGAAATATGGCACAAAGCATGTTCCTTTTACAAGGATCTATTTTGTATCAATCAATGAGGATTATTTCACCCTGCTGTTAAACTGCAAAGAGGTTTATACTTCTGGTAATGAAATTAACTGCCCCACAAGCAGCGAACTGAAACAGGATAATGGTCTTGGTTCTTACAGAATAATCGCAAATAGCTTCTGTGATACTAGCGATGACAAAGGACAAAAACAGTATTGTATGGGACTATAAAAAGTAAAGGTTAGACCATCAAAAGTTGTTAAAAATGGTCTGCAACTGACACAGGATTACTATAGTATGGTCATTATGCATTTCACTGAAATGTTCGAACATTTTAACCTTGTAAAAATCATAATTCTAATGATGGGCTGGATTAGTGACAGAAGAATTATGAAATTGATGACACTTTGAAACTGTGGTTCTGTAGTGATGAAAACTGGTACTGAACATGAAGCAGAAGCTTTCACATATCTTACACACTTCTAGGGATTGCCTGTTGCCAAATAAGTTTCCACATGTGTATGGACATCTTGATGTGATTCCTTCAGTAACCTGATAAAGTTGAGAATTTCACGCTTGCATGAGCTGCAATTATAATTTTTGGGTCTATCTCCCCTATTTGAATAATAGTAGGGGAAGCCAGGAAACGAGCTTCAAAAACTTGATTAAAGACAGCACCAAGCTTGGCTGTGTTGTCTTCTATGGCCAAAATCGTCTGCTAACACCCTGCTGTCTACCATTAATAATAATTGTTGCATTTGATATAGCAACTATAATGTTGAAATGTCTCAAAGCGCTTAACAGGTGTGTAGTGAGTGTGTGTTTGCAGCCAAATGTGGCAGTCAATATGCATATAACAATGTCTGGATTCAGCCATGAAGTGAATGACAAATTTATCTGAAGAATTGTTGACCATGACACCATGATGTCCCAGATAATGGCTATTGCCAATGGAACTGTTCACCAGACAGACAGACAGACAGACAAGATAGACAGACAGACAGACAGACAGCAGACAAATGGATAGATATAAAGAAAAAAGAAGATAGTTGCTGTTGTAGATAGAAAAAAAATCCAAATAAAACTGTTTATCTTCAAAAACAAAAACCTCCAAGTCGCAATTGCTCTACTTCTTTATTGGCTATCCAAAATCATTATTCCTCAGTACATCTTATCAACCAATAACTGTGACAATATTATGAGAAGCTCTGCAACAGAACACTAAAATTAAGTTTATGAAACTTACACTGCTTTTATGTTGTCATTTCATTAAAATAAATCGATGTACAAGAAAAATTCATTACGTGTAACAGCAATATACATCAGAGTCTCAGCATAATAATAAACTCTCTAAGGACTGAGGGGGCAATTTTGCAGAAAAGCACCACATGAGAAATGAAAATCTTTTAGTCATCCCAATAGTATCTGTAATTATGTTTTTTTCTGATCTCAACTCTTTGTTGGGGATACTTTTCATTTCACACTAAACACACATTCGTTTTTTTCTTTGGTGGTTCAAATCTATTGTCTCACTTACTTTCATCCGGATATAGGAAAATTGAATGAAGGCGCTTGTCAAATCAATGACAAGAACATGGGAAGGAAAATTCTATTGCTTTTACATACGGAATAAGATTTAGTCCAAGATAAATTAAATTAAAATACGATTTACGTATGTATTAGTTCTATTTCATTTTATAACAAAAGTCACGCCAGCACTGTATTAGACAGAAAGAACATATTTGCAAAATGCTCCTGTAAGATCTTTATGTTTCTGAAAAATGATACAGAAATATTTACAAAGTGTCCTGTGTTGTATTGATTTGGAGGTGAAGGCGGTATCTATGTGGTGATGGGAGAACAGCACATCTGACATATGATTCTATGGAAGCTCCTCACCAAGCACACCTCCCAATCTGTTTGGGGTTAGGCAGAATATTTAAAAATATATACAAAAGGAAATAATGATTATGGTCGAGAGAGACCGATGCAAAAATTCATTCATATGTTAGATTGAAAGGTTTTTGGGTTGTAAATGTTAAGTGTGAAATTTTATTGCATTTACCACAAAACTAATGACAACAACCCTTGCAGCGATGACTTGACCAGGAAATTCTGTATCACCTGAACCAGCGGGTTGTCAAGAATCACACGATATTATAGTAATATTTTGCGAGTTTTAAACACATTTTTACAAAGTGAATTGCAGATTCCATTAATTACATAACTAATGACCAATGAAGAGGATTCCAGAATTATTTTTAGGTTATTTAAAATAATCACATTGGATAAGCAAGACAGATAAAGATAGTGATTGACTGAATTACAGAGAACAAAAAGTTAATCAATATAAGAGCCTTTGAAGAAGTGGATGCTTTAAACCTTGCTATCAACTGGCTGCTGGATTTCGCCCACAAAACTACATAATCAATCCACTTTACTTTACTTTACTGTGATGGGTTTTGAGACGTCAAAACAATGTGATAAGACGCTATATCAAATTCAAGAGTTATTATCAGAAATAGTTTTTCTTTCCTCAAGAGAACAGTGTGAAACAGCATTAGCGTGTGGTACCTTCCACTGTAAGCTCTACTGAACAGTGTAGCCTCTTTTTCTTTGTGTACATATCATATCACCCACACTTTTCTTTCAAAGTAATGATTCATTTGTCATTTATTCTTGGTGTAATATTTTGTTGTATTTGTGGACAAATGTGGCAACAACAACTTGCATTATATAGCCTTCGCACAGGATCAAGACTCAGAGTGCTTCACAGTGCTGAGGTTGGATTCTGAGCAAGGGAGAAAGGAGAGGAAAGGTGAGCATAGGTGTGGTGGAGGGGATAGATTTTAAAGTGGGATTTAAAAATAGTTAGAGGGGGTGGTGCACAAATAACTGTGAACTGAATAAACAATTAATCTGGAAAAACTCCCTTCCCTTTTCAAATAGTTCCACGGGTTTCTTGATGTCCATTTGAACGAGCAGTAAGTTAGGATCTTGGTTCAACAGCGCATCTGAAGGACTGCACCTCCAACAATGCTTCCCCACAGTCTGAGCACAAAGCCCTGAAGTGGGCTGTGACCCACAACTTTCTGATCCTCAAGTGAGAGTGCTACTAAATAACCCAGACTGATATATAATGGGGAGGGGGTGTGGGGGGGAGTGGGGGTCAAATTGTGAGAGGCTCTGATGGTCGACGACGGGCAAAGTTATTTCTGCTGGTCAGTGGGTCAATGACTGGAGGACATTGATTTAAGATAATTACCAAAGGGGAAGATTAGGCAATTTTGTTTTACACACGGAGACTTGTTGGGAATATGGAATAAACACTCTGCTGGGTATGATGGTCGTACCAGGATCAATGTTGGTTTGCTTGAGGGAACGGATAGATGTCCAGAAAGGAGTCATTTGCAGGAGAGCAAGGATAGGGCAGGAACATGGGACTGAGTGGATTGCTCTTTCAAGGATCCAGCACAGACACACACAATTGGTCAAATAGTTGCCTTGATTTGTGGTGTAAACTTCTATGGTTCTATTAAGTGCGAATTGTATGAGCAAACAAATGTAGATCTTATTTCTAAACCCAGACAAATCAAACAGGGATAACAGAATATACAGTACTGCAGTTCCAATTTAGTCACGATTTACGTAGCTCCACAGAACCAACTAAGTGACAAACAACAGTTATATTTCACTAGAAATAATGTCAGACATCTGTCGCCCATGGCAACAAAAGTTCCAGAAGAACAACACTGAAAGCCTTAGACAATTCCTCAGCAGTAAAGAGGTTCAGGTGAATGCCAGAGTGGTGAGTGGGCTGTTGAAACATTACTGTGTATTACAGTGTGAGAATACATAGACAGTGTGCGCTGCGGCTGAACTAAGAATCTATCACAATCAACAGAGTGAGTGGAGTAGGGAGAAGACTCACGAGGAGGTGCATTTTCAGGACCACCGCTCTTATTCCAGTGTGACAGATTCTACCTTTCACACCCTTTTCTGACATTGATCAGGACACTTCATTTGAGTGGCTGATAATAAATTTATTAATCTGAATCACTTAAACACTTGTTTATTTGAGGTTATAGTAAATTCTGTGAAGTGCTTTGAGCCGCCTGAATGACGTGATAAGGCACTACAACAACAACAAAATTACATTTATAGAGCGTCTTTCATGTCGGGAGGACGTCCCAAGGCGCTGGACAGTCAGGGATCAGGACCCGAGCATGGGGTAAGGGGTGGGGCAGGGGTGAGGGAAGGCAGAGCGGTAGGAGGGCGACTGAAGGCACGATCGAAGAGGAGGGTCTTGAGACCGGCCTTGAAAGAGGCAAGGGAGGAAGCGAGGCGAAGGGACTGTGGGATGGAGTTCCAGAGTGTGGGGGCAGAGAGGCTAAAAGCCCGGCTACCGATGGTAGGGTGGGTCGGGCAGGAGACATGGAGCAGGCCAGAGCCCGCTGAATGGAGGAAGCGGGCAGAATGGTAGGGAATCAGCAGGTCAGAGAAGTAGGAGAGGGCAAGGCCATGGATGGCCTTGAAAGTGAGTACGAGGATCTTGAATTCGATCATCTGGGGGATGGGGAGCTGACTGGCTTAGTGAGAGTGAGTGTGCAGCCGTGGAGGCTGATGCTGCCAGCGCCCGAGATGCGGAGGCGCTGGAGTGAGCCAATCAGGAGGGCCTCGGTTTTGCTGATGTTGAGTTGGAGAAAGTTGTCCCTCGTCCAGGACTTGATGTCAGACAGGCAGTCAATCAGGACGCCAGTAGTCCTGGAGTTGAGGGTGGAGGCAGAGAGATAGAGTTGGGTGTCATCCGCATACATGTAGAAACTTATCCCATGTCTGCGGATGATGTCACCAAGGGGAGCATGTAGAGGGTGAAGAGGAGGGGACCGAGGACAGAGCCCTGAGGAATGCTGCATGAGACAGTGTGGGGGCTGGAGAAGCCATTTGCTGAGACAAAGTGGAGGCGGTGTGAAAGGTAGGACCTGAACCAGTCAAGGACAGAATCTTGACGTTTGAGGTGGGAGGAGAGGCAGTAGAAGAGGCTTGAGTGGTCCACAGTAGCAAAGGCGGCAGAAAGGTCAAGGAGGACAAGGAGTCAGAGGGAGCCCTGATCACACATGGGCAGCACAGAAACCGATTGGAGGGGCTCATTGAGGGAGTGAGAGGAGAGGAGAGGAAAGGGCGAAGCTGTGAGGCAACGGCTCTCTCAAGGACCTTAGACAGAAAAGGGAGGTGAGAGATGGGACCGTAGCTGTCAAAGGAAGGTTTCTTCAGGGTGGGGATGATAGTGGCTTTTGAGGGGGGTAGGAACAGTGCCAAATGACAAGGAGAATTGATGATGTCGGCGAGTAGTGGGGCAAGGAAGTGGAGCTGGGATTTAAGGAGAGGGGTGGGGATGGGGTCCAGGGAGCAGATGGTAAGCTTCATGGAGGATATGGTGATGATGACAGAGGAGGGAGTGACAGGTTCAAAGGTGTGGAAGGATGGATGGGTAGCTGTCGGAGTGTGGGGGTTGGTAGGGAGGGGATGGAAGTTGGGAGCGCAGTGGCAGCTGAGCGGATTCCCTCGATTTTGGACTCGAGGAAGTCCAGCATTTCCGACCAGTGGGAGTCGGAGAAAAGAATCTGCGAGGCATGGCAAGGAGGGCGGAGGAGCTGGTTGGTGGTGGAGAACAGGAGCCTGGGGTTACCCTTCGCCTCCAGGATTAACCTGGAGTAGAAGGACGATTTGGCCGAGGTGAGAGCAGAGCGGTAGGTTTTGATGTGGTCCAGCCAGATGTGCTGGTGGACCGTAAGGCTGGATTTGAGTTGAGTGCATTTGGCAGCCCACAACTGTCCCTTGAGCGAGCGGAGATGGCTGGTGAACCAGGGTGAGGATCGGGAATAGGAGGCAGTTCGGAAGTTGAGGGGGCAAGGGTGTCAAGTGTCGTAAATAGGGTGCTGTGGAGGAGAGTAAACGCAGAGGATGAGTTGGTGTGGGAGGTGGATCAGAAGGGGAGGAGTAGTAGCAGAGAGGGATAGCGGGGAGATCTTTTTCCACAGGTGGTAGAAGATAGTGGTAGGTTTGGAGGCAGTGGGGAGAGGGATATAGGAGTTGAGGAAGATGAAATGGTGGTCAGAGATGGCCTTGTCGGTGATGGTGACAACCGAGATGCTGAGGCCCCGGGTGATCACCAGGTTGAGCGGGTGGCCATGAACGTGGGTAGCAGAGTGCGTGTGGAGGGAGAGGTTGAGAGAAGAGAGAGGAGAAGTCTGAGAAGGTGGAGCAAGTGGGGGGTGAAGTGGAGGTTGAAGTCGCCTAAGATGATGAGGCGGTTGGAGCAGAGGCAGAAGGAAGCTAGAAGGGTGGAGATGTCAGAGATGAAGGTGGGGAAGGATTTTGGGGGCGCGGTAAATTAGGAGAATATCAAATGCAAGGATTATCATTATTATTTTCCAAATTTATCACATCAAAAATAGACATAAGAAGGGAGGAATTGGTATTCTAACTTGTCTGAACTTTATGACATTGAGAAATGGGCACTCTCTCCCCGGAGGGACATGTCCTGCTTACCTAATTCCGGAGAGTATTAGACGCAGGATGGCAAGAGCCAAGGCTTGGGGACCAGAGCGTGCATTGGGTTACTGCTGAAGTCTAACCAGCTAAAACGGCATAGCTTGCCATTGATATTGCTGTCTGGCAAACTTTCCCATTGCTTGTCCACCCTACCCGTTAGGGCTTTGGCTTACAGGGTTAACAGGAGCTGAGTGTGATGACTCCCTGCTCTCAAGTGACTAGTTGTGCCCTCCCAAGTCCTGCTGATCAGCCAGGCTGCCTGTGGTGTCCTCAGCAGTGCCCTGGATTACTCCTGACCTGCTCAGGAACCATCCGAGACCATCACAGACTGCTGGCTCGATTCCGACATTCCATTGCCAGGCATGTCACCTTGGTGCCAGTACAGCTCCAAGGAGACCCCGCGTACTTCCTCCCCCCAAGAAGGATCGTCACAGGTTAGCTGCTAAACGATAGGGGAGAATGGCCATAGGAGTAGTTGAAGAGATAGGTTTTTAGATAGGGTTAAAGACATATAAAGCTGAGCCAGTGTGATAGACATATAGAGCTGAGCCAGAGATTATGAATGTAGTAACTGGAGGCTGGGCCACTAATGGTAGCACAGCAGTCCAGAGTTAGTCGAATGGAGGGTCGAGCAGAGGTAAAGAGGAGTATCACAGAGATAGGGAGGTGCTAGGGTATGAAGAGATTTATAGATGAGGGTGAAGACATTAGCAAACAATTCCAGACCAAGAGCATCACTTTATATTACCTTTTATATTGGTTTGGAAAATGTGAAAGGCTGTCAAATTAAATTTAAATACAATTTAATGGCGATCATACAATTATGCCATTCTCTTCAATCGCCCCTCCTCCATCATCCACCTTAGTGGGACCGCACTCTCCTGGTTGGTGTCCTACTTAACCAACTGCCATCACCTTGTCTCTGCAAATGATTTCCTCCCACCCCCTGCAGAGTAATCCAAAGGTCCAATCTTGGCCCCCTACTTTTCGCCATTTTCGTGCTTCTTCTCGGTGATGTCGTCTGCAAATATGGAGTTAACTTCCACATGTATGCAGATGACACACAAATCGACTTCTCCTCCAGCTGCAACTCCAGGTCCATCAATGTTCTATCTCTTGCTTGTCAGACATCAAGGCCGGGATGAGGGCCAACTTTCTGCAGCTGAAGGTCGACAAGATAGAAACCATACTCCTTGGCTCCCATCAACGTCTCCTCTCCTGTGGCTCATTATTCCAGTCGTCACCACTGGCTCCGTATCACAGAACAAAACAAATTCAAGATCCAAACACTCATCTACCAATCCCTTCATGTCCTGGCATCTCTCTACCTCTCCGATCTGCTTACTTCCCACTTCACCACCCGCCATCTCCGCTCGGCTGGCTCCTGCCTCCTGTGCTCCCAGACTCCGTTCGGCATAAAGCGCGCGATATAAATGCAAGTTGTTGTTGTTGATATTCCTCGTCCCCTTCGTTCCAACATTGGCGGCCATGCTTTCAGCCACTACGCCCCTAAACATGGGAACTCTCTCCCTCGGTCGCTCCGCCGTGTACCCCTCATTTTCAGATCACGCCCGAAGAGCTTCCTCTTCGACCATTCCTATGGTCACCTCCCTCTTCCTCCAGCTCGGCGCTGGGCTCCGCTACTGAAGGCCACCGGGAAAACCGGCAGCGACCCCCCAGCCACCAAACTTAGCGCGCGGACGTGTCAGTGGCTGGACGGCGGCTGGTGTGGACCTGTGTTGGCTGCGGTGAGGTATCCACCATGACCCCCCCCCAAAACCCCACCCGCCCCGCGGCCCCCTGGCCGAGCGGGTTAGGTTGGCGGGGAGGTGAGGCGACTTCAATGGGTTTTCGGCGGGTGAGACAAGACGTCAGCGAGTCACGCAGCTGGGGGTTGTCGTCACGGTTGTCGTTCGTCGTCGTCGTTGTTGTTGCCGCCGCCGGCCCACCTGCGACTGCGCGGGTTTGCACGCGTCCAACTCCAGGGGGCGCGAAGGGCGCGAAGGGCGCGGTACAAACGCAAGCTGTGGTGTTGCTAAATCCCAGGGGCGGACGGGTCAGCTGCGCGGTCCGGTTCATGAACACACCCCGTGGGCAGTTTTACCGGGAAACAACATGGTTCTTAATTGACTGTTTATTTTGAGGCGGAGGGGGTGGGGGGAGGGGGTGGGGGAGGGGGGGGGGTGGGGAGGGGGTGGGGGTGGGGGGGGGGGAGGGGGTGGGGGTGGGGGTGGGGTGGGGGAGGGGGTGGGGGGGTGGGGGGTGGGGAGGGGGTGGGGGAGGGGGTGGGGTGGGGGGGGGGGGGGGGTGGGGGAGGGGGTGGGGTGGGGGTGGGGGGGGGGAAGGAGTTTAGTCAATAAATGAGAGGCGGAACCTTTCACCTCCTCCCCACAACCGGGCCTGTTGTTTGAGCCCCGGTTACACAGGCCAAGTTGAGTGGCGAGAAGTGTCAGAAGCAATGTCAGGGTTTTCAGAAGATTAATGATATTTCCTTGAACAACTAGTTCTATAGGTACAACTTCCTAACAGGAATTGAACAGTTCTTCGCTTGCAAGTGTTTACCTAAGCTACAGACTCAGGTCAGAGTCAAGCTAATTAGGTTGACAAATATAAGCTTATTAACAATTTATCTGCTAAGGAAATGTTTAAATCCACGTGGCTGGAGCTGGGGGCAGGATAAGAAATGTGACCACCCTCTATCCATTTTCTTTTAAAAGAGGGATATCTTACAGTAAACTGAATTTATAGATGGCTCTTGCCCTGGACTGTAAGAGGAAGACAAACCAAAATGTGCAGTTAGTTTTCAATTTGAGTTTAGAAACCTGCTACACTAGAAGTTTTAAACAAAAGTTTAGGTTTGTGTTGGATGCAATGTTTTAGACTGCTTGTGTACTGAAATAGGTGCTCAGATCTTTGGCTTTTTTAACCTTTTGTTTTATATATAAAATAATAACATAATAATATAGTAAGTAATAATAATAATAATCCTTGCATTTAATATAGCGTTGTTCACGTCTTCTTGACGTCTCAAAGCGCTTCACAGAATATGCTGTAAAGTGAATTGATTGTATATTTGTGGGCAAATTTGAATTTAAACAATCAGCAGTATATTTTCTTTTTAAGATATTAAAGGAATTTAAGGCAAAGTAATGATTTGGGATTTATGTGAGTTTGATTCATGTACTGTTTAAGCAAATCTGATTTCTGTCCCACTTCAGGTACTTGCAAAGATTCGATCTTGAGCTGGATCAGATTGAATTAGCGAATAGTATCAAAGGCAGGCAAGGAAGACAGCATGCGTCTCGGGAGGCAATTCTCAAACACACAATTGAACGTGAGAGATTTCTATATGAAGAAAATGGAATGGGTATGAGTACTTCGTATAAAGCGTTCTTATTTAAAAGTTTAATTAAACATTTTGCATTTTTCCTTTTCAGCTCTCAACCAAAAGTACACCCACACAGCTGGTTCTAGCAGAATGCAAAGATTATTTACATGCTTCAGGGGAATCAAGTGCTGCCTTGATTATAGGCTTGATATCCTTTGACCCATGCTAACTGGAAGCATAATACATCTGGCTTTACTGCTGACAAGCCGGCTTCCAGGTTAAGTTACTGCTGCTGTCACTTTGTGAAGAAAGTGACGTCAGTGATTCTGCTTGCACTTTGTGTGCATGCACAGAGTTCAAAAAATGACATAAATTTTGACCTGACACCTTTCTGTCAACAATAATTATTTTTGCTTTAATAATGTGTCCTCCCAAGTTTTTCACCCAGAGGACTACATTATAATAAAGTGCAGAATCAAGCTGTGCAGACCAGAAAATTGAAGGTTCAGATCCATTCCTTCAGGGTAATTGAAATTATTATAGATGTGTATCTATATTGTGGCATCTGATTAATTATTTGTGCTGGTCTAAATGTTAGAATGCAAATATCCGTTTATTTGCAGTCCTTTAATCAATGGTGAGAATGGGAATACTCCTCCGTTTTATTCCGAAGTGCTAACTTCAGCATGTTTGTTTACAGTAAATGCAGAATATTCTGAAATACTATGAAATTCAATTCTAATTAGCCATAATATTAATCATGGCTTCTGAAACCTGGCTAGAGTTTTTGTTAATACACCGATAATTACTTTTTATTTAAATTCAATTTACTGACTGTTGTTCACACCTTGTATAGATCGCTGATGAGCCAGCGTTTCGAATGGTGTGAACAGACTGAGCACCCTTCAATAGGACATTGAGTATTCAGAGAATGTTAGCTTTATGGGCATGGGCAAGATGACGATGGTGAGGCATCATTCATGCTAAGATACTTGCTTAATAATATAATCCTTGCATTTAAATATAGTGCTTTATCACGTTGTCTGTGTTGCTGCATTTCAAGGGATATAACGTAAACATGACAGTCAATTTGCACATACCAATGTGACGAGCAGCAATGAAGCAGCTATAACTGGAGGATTGTTGGCCAAGATGCCAGGAGATACTTCTCTTTTTGAGTAGTGCCTTGGGATCTTTAATGTCAATCTGAACAGGCAGATGTGACCTTGGTTTAACATATTATCTCATCCGAAGGACAGCATCTCTGACAATTCAAAAGTCCAAAACATTTTGTGCCCTATTAAGGGTAACTTTGTGTAATTACCAACGAGAACACAGATTAGGGACAAGCCATTTGTCTTAGAAAAATATATTTTAATCAACTACTATCATGCTGAGCATTAGAAAATGACCTTTTTGTTTCAGAAAGCATATTAATTATTTTGTTCAGATTGTTATTTTTCTTTCTGCAGAGATTCCAGATATCATCAATCCAAAGAACCTGAAAATCTTTAGGTATGTTCATGTGCTTGTCATGTTCTATTCTGCACTCCCCAGTTTATTAAATAATTTGTGAGGATAATAATAATAATCTTTACATTTGATATAGCGCCTTATCACGTCTTTGAGACGTCTCAAAGTGCTGCAATATATTACTATCTAGATGGCTTGTCTATACTAAATATATACATAGATAGTTGGTGTTATTGTATTTGCTGTAACTTTGCATAAATTTCAGGGACAAATTTGTAAATTTAGTTAAATGAATCAACCAACAACAACAACAAAATTATATTTGTATAGAGCCTTTCATGTCGGGAGGATGTCCCAAGGCACTGCATCAGCTATTTTTACAGTGAAAAGGGTATAGAAAAAGTGGGCATTATTTTGGGGACCTGAATCTGAATCCATCCTTCGCTAGTTGTGTCCTTTCAACTAACTATTCAATGCTTGATATTCACACAAGTCATAGGAACAGAATCCACAGCAAACGCAATGTATTATCAAAACTCAATTGTTCCATTTTGATTGTTTTTCTCACTTTTGTTCTGTTCTGCTTCAGAGAATGGGATGGAAATCTGAAAAAACTTCCCAATTTGAAAATGAAAAAAATATCTTTAAAGGATTCAACTTGTATACAGAAAGAAAGCCAAAATGCTGACGTGACAGAAAGCGTACAGGAGGAGGATGAGGACGTTGAGGACAAGCAGTCTGTAGTAAAGGAGGATGAATAGAATTATGAAATACCCCAAAATTTCCTTGCAAGAAGCCATTTAAATTGAACCTGATGCAATGCATTCAAACGCTTGAGATGACCAATGGTGAAAATATATTTTTGAGATATTTTGCTCCTGCATAAATGAACCTAACCTTTTGTAAGGTATCCAGAAGTGCTCATATTTGCAAAGAAAATCTATTTATTGCCAATAAAGTTTGAAATATTTGAAATACTAATAAATTTATGCATAAAATATCTTCTGATGTAGTTTTTGTTATTTCTTCCCTCTCCAATGTTAATTCTGTTGAATGTTTATAACATGTTTTTCCCTAAAACTAGTTGTATTCTGGAGATATACTATGTTAATTTGTCATTTTTTAAAAAATGATATTGAAGTTGGTAGAAATATTGAATGAAGTGCAGGATAACAGCTGGAAATTGACATCCGTGATGGAACAGTGGTAGGCTATAATCCTATATTCCCTTTGTCATGGCAACAAATAATTGCCTCCAGGAGAGCCAGATCAACATCTTGTATAAGTCCTGTAGCTCAGTGGTTAGAGCACTCGCTTTGCAAGCGAGAGACCTGAGTTCAATTCCAGACAGGGCGAAACCTTGGGCAAGTTTCCTTACTCCACACTCCTAATAATAATCCCTCCAAAACAAAACAATAATAAATTGGTCATTTTCAATCTACGACTGTTTGTGGGACATTGCTGTGCGCAATTGGCTGCCGCGTTCGCCCACAAATATACAGTCAATTCACTTTATATTCTGTGAAGCACTTTGGGACGTCCTCCCGACGTGAAAAGCGCTATATCAAATGCAAGGATTATTATTACATACCAGAATATATTAACTTGCTATTCCTAGCCTTAATATGGTGTGGATAGTACAATGCAGTCTGCAACCTCTCACATATTCTAAGCTTGCCCATGCCTTAGTTCCTACTGGGAAATGGGAGTTTGGGAGTATTCAATATTAATCATAAATACAATATTGTTCTGCTTTATTTGATGGATCTCTTGATCCACTTTACTATTTTGGTTTCTGTATGAGATCACTTGCATGTGTTGATTGGTATCCTCCTCTGCACTGCTTGTGGTACAAAACCTAGTGAAACTATGCCAGTAAAAACATCAACTTTGAGATTTCAACAGGACAAATGTTGTGAACCTGCTTTCCTTTCCTAGAGCATTAGCTCTGATTTGGCCTGGGATGTACAAATTTAGCCCACAAAGTCGATCCACTTTACAATTTATTCTGTCAAGGGTTGTGAGATTTCTCAACGATGTGATAAGGTGCTATAGCAAATGCACCTTATGAAAAGGACTATTATATATTTCAACGGTGGGGCAGAGCTTATCAACTTCTACAATGTAAATGCTGAATATCACTGGCCAAATATCAAGCTCTTCAGGATAAAAAGTTTTCTGACTATTCTCAGTTACAGTTCTGGAGCCAGGAGCAAATGGATATATTTTCCAGTTTACATTTTCTTGGAACATTTATTGTGTGTGCATGGAGGCTTCAAATTTTAGGCTTACAATTGAGAATGAGTGATCAGATCATAGGATAGACATCAAACCAATCTTTCTTCTCGCGAATTGAGATGGAAGTTTCTTGCTACATGTTCAGAATACATCCAAGTGCTTTATGAGCTAGAGAAGCAGAGGAGCCATATATGTCAGACTTGTAGCTAACTGTTCTGATTTGTCAAAAGAACTAAACACCAATGTTTGTTTTAATCTTGCTCTTTCCCCCTCAATTTTCTTGCTTAAATATACTAATCTGTGCTTGGGTAGGGTCTATAAGTACCAGTTAGCTTCTAGGACAATACTTTATTCAAGTAACCTTTGCAAGATAATGTATGCAACTGGACAGTGAGCATTTGCAAAATTCAGGCATTAGGACATCACAGCCAAGCCCAATCCTGACTGATTAAATTTCATACGTGGCCACTTTTCAGCAGGAATTGCCAGAAGCAGTCAGGAGACATAATACTGGGAATGTAAAATTAAGTTTTACTGCTTCTGAATAAAGTATCTTTTTTGAACGTGTGCTTGGGACAAGAATTACTTTTTTTCCCAGATACTCATTATTCATGCTGACCTGAGGGATTAATATAGTCCAATTGAAACTAACATTAACAAAATAAGTTAAGTTGTACAGACCTTTCCAAATAGCAAGACACATTTTAAACTACTGTTCCTATTTTACAAGCTGGACTGCTTGTCAAACTGATGTCTGTAAAATAGCTAATTGTATGAGTGTTTAAAAGAGTGACAGATGTTCAAGCCTTTAATTGTTTCAATGCTGTAATGGCCAGAAATTAAAATGCCTTTTAAATATTTTGTGTATGCCAAAGCAGAGTTGAGTAGATCAGGCAGGCAAGCTGACATGATTGAGAAATGAAATCTCTTGTAGCACCATCGAGTAATTGTTAGTGAGCTTCAAGATGAGCTTGATGTTGCTTGGAACTCAGTAAAGACTGTCTAGACAATATCCCAGCTTCAGCTTCCAGCTCCTTTTACTGATTTAGTGATGCCTCCCTTTTCCACACAACACAACCTTATGGCGGTTCTTTTTTTTAAGTTCAGCCGGGAAGATGGACAGTATTGTGTTCTAGACCATGGCTGTGGAAATCCTAGTAGGAATCCACAAATTCATTTTGATGTAGATTGGTGTAGATTGTAGGACAAATTTACATGTGAACTCGCCTTTAACCTGCAGAGCATCTTATTTTGCCTGGTCTAGATCTCTGCTAACTGGTAATTCCAGTTAGATGTACAGCTAGCTGCAGGTGTCTCCTTGTAGAGCTCTTTAACAGTACTGTTGTGTTTTCGATATCCTGCAGATGTAGTTTACAGCTTTCTCATGAGTTGCTGTACTGCATGTGTTATCATTGAAGCTTTGTTGCGAAGGTGCTTGCAAAGCTCAGTTGTAATTTTTCACACTCAGATTCAAGGTGCAACACTTGAGCCATATTATTGAATAAGTGACTTGAGGGGGACTGGTGGTAGCAATGATAAATTCACATGATTGAAAATGGTGTAGAATGAGCATTGCTCAACTGTCTCCTGGATGAATGGAAGGTTTATTGTAAAGTGACAGTTCTTGACAGCTTATTTCTGTCCCTTCAAAAAAAATCCCCAATTTTTGTAGGTGACATTCACTTAATACAACTCTTTGCGTACTCTAAAGGAGAATGGTACTAAATTTTAGCTTTCAGTTGGGAGTATACAGGACGATGTAAACTATTCCTGCTACTTGAATGAGGTTGGATTAGAGAATTTGCTCCAGTGATTAACTATAGACCATAGTTTTTATACAGACAAAATAAGTCTGAAGGGTTCCAGAAGGAGTTCTGTTATTTACTGTTGACTATGTTGTCTTATCAGTTGTTCTTTGTGAGATTGTTGGGGTGAGGTTGTGAATAGACCTCATCAGTTACACAAGAGTCTAGACAAAAATATTGTGTGTCAGAAAGCTTTTTTCATCATTTTACCAATGTACTCCAATCCAAGCAGATTAATGTATTTAACTGACATCAGCTTTACAAGTGATGTATGGGACAGGATAATTCAGACCAAGTATTTCTCTTGGGTGTACTGTTGTCAGAGTATGTATTGCAAGAGTACAACCATTCCCTCCAGTAGTCTGGCTGGGAACTAATCCAGTTCAGAACCTTAACGACTGCTGAAATTGAAAGGCAGCATATGCAGGTAAAATGGTGTGTTAAGAGGCTGGTCAAAAAGGTCAAAGTTTAATCGCCCAACAATCTTGACACAAAGATTATAATAGTTTGTTGGGTGGGTAAAAATATAACTAAGATTTGTGCCTATGCGAAGAATAGGATTGTTAGCAAGATTAATGTTCCATGAAGCATTACAAGGCATTAGCTGCAGGTTTCCTGTGAAACACTTGCCATTTTGGATTGCTATTTTTGAAAACAGCTTAGATATCTAGACTGAGAACTGGCTGTTCATTTGTAAATTTGTCTACATATTGAAAGAAGAATAAGAAAACATTACTACTTTCTTACAAAAGCCTATATATCTAAGGCTGCCCCTGTTTTTACTCTCCTGTGAGCAACAATAAGCTACGCAGACGTAAAGAACAGCCACGAGCAACAATTCCTCAGATCTGATTCCCCATCTATTCTGAAGTTGCATCTGGCAATAAAACTAATCAGAAAACTTCAGTGGAGAAATTGGTTACAAACCACAGAGACTTAACATGTTAACATACTTGCCTCTGTCAGAAAATTGTGGGTTCAAGCCATTTGAGCTCATTGACTAGGTTAACCCCAGTGCAGGACTGAGGATGTGCTTCATTGTTGGAGGCTTCAAAAATCCTTTGAATGAGATGTTAAAACAATGTCTGCCTGTCTAGGTGGTGGTAAAGATCCTGTGGCAGAAGTCAAAAAAAGGGAATTTCTCCCAGTATTCTATCCACGAATCTTCCAGATAAAATAGAGTATTTACCTCTTAATAATAACAATGCTTGCATTTGATACAGTGCCTTATGTGGCTTCACAAAATGATGTGACTGGTATATGCTGCACAAAATAGCGTATTTTTGTCAACGAACATGGCAGCCAATTTGCAAGCAACCTTGTCCCACAAACAGCCATGGAGTGAGTGACTAATTTTATTTAGGGGATTGTTGGGCAGGACATTGGGAGAAACTCATTTCTCTTTTCAAAGTGCCATGCTACATTTAACGTCCACCGGAACAGGAAAATCAGTTGCTGCGTTAGTCTACAAATGGACGTTTGCCTATAAATATAGTTATTCCACTTCACAATAAAATCCTATGAAGTGCTTTGGGATGTCCTCCTGACATGAAAGCTACTATACCAAATGTAAGGATTATTGTAAATAGTCACTACATTTTACAGTGACTCTTGTGAAGGATTTTTGAGATGTTTTGATGATGTGATAAGGCACTATATCAAATCCAAGAATTTATTTTGGTCAGCCAGATGTCTGACACCCAAAAACCTATCAGTATTCAAACCAATACAGATCCGCATGCCACCAATACATCAAAATATCACTGTGTCTGGAATAAAATGTACACTCTCCCCCCAAAGAGATGCAGCCTGCCTGCCTAATTCCAGAAAGTATTAGGCATAAATTATAATAAGAATATTTATAATAATAAAATATTATTTTGGTGCATTTGATGTAGTACCTTATGTTGTCGAGATGTCTCAAAGTGCTTCACAGCATATATTGTAAGGTGGTTTGATTTATTTTATGGGTTAGTGTGAGCCGAAGTGCGGGGTCTCCAGAGTGTGTATCGGGGCTGCTTCTGAAGTTTGACCATTTTATAAATGCACAACATGCCGATGTGAGTACTGTCTGGCAAGCTTCCTGCTGCTTGTCACCTCAAAGTCCTGTGGCTGGCGGTCGGTCATCATTGGTGGCTTGGAGTACTTCAGACATGCCTATCTCAGGAGCCAGACTACAGAGAGCATCATGGAGGCTGACCTGATTCCACCATTCTTTTGCCAAGCACATTTCCTTGGAGTGAGCTCAACTCCAGAGATCCTTCTTATTTCCCCCACAGAGGATAGTCACTAGCTGGTCATTTGATGCCATTGGAAAACCTAGTCCTTACTTTGTGGGTAGTAGATGCCATAAACTCCCTCTGGTGAGCAACATAACTTAGCATGAAATGTGTGAGAGCATTCCTCATACCATCCTTGTGTCCACATCTCGGAATCACATCCCTTATCCATTACATGATAACTCCCCCAGTTGGCATTTGGAGTTTGCTTAGTTCTTTGAATACCAATCCAAGTGGATGTCCAATCCTGTATATATGAGTGTGTGTTCATGAACCCAGACGCTGTCGTCTTAAGCCTCAGTTTCCTCATCAGCTATTCCAGTGATACCCTTAGGCTGAAGAGATGGCACAGTGAATTGTGAATCAAATGATTGGTCCTTCTCACTTGTTCATGACACCATTTGCAACATGAATAATTAATTAGAAATGGATTAAAGAGCATCTGGAACAGACAAGAATGACCCTCGAAATTTTATGAGGAATGACCAGATTGACCTCACAATGATATCACTGATTCAACTGTACTAAAAAAAAGTAACGCATCACAAAAGTTAGTGTTGCATTGGATACATCTACACATAGACTTAGTATAGACAGACCTTATGATCAATTCACAGCATGTTTATGGAATGGTCTATTCATGGCTTTGGTTCTGTTTGTAAACCACCACACAAACCAATGAAAGAACATGTCTTTAAGTATAATATCCCTTATTCTAAATTCATTGTCACAATCTATTATTGAAAGAGCACTTCAGTCTGGAGAGGCCAGAATGGCTTGTTTCAGTGATTTGCTAAAAATGTACTTCTTAACAAATAGTTGTTTTGACGGTGTGACAGAAAGAAATGTGATACAGTAATGTCCTGTTTGTGCTAAACTATACTGATATAAATTATATCAATGTGTACCCTGTATAGCCAAGTTGCAATGGCAGTGGCATATAGTTTTCGTTGATACAAAATTTGGATTGTTTTTATTGGACTGTGTGAGTGGCCGGAGATAATCAGGATGCTGTGAAACAGCCTTGTAGCTATGATGGTAAAGAATGCTGAACTCTCTAGCTTAGAAGCCTTGCTTTCCTTGAAGGAATGTTTTTTTTCTGATTTTGTCAACATTGTTTGAATTAAAGTGCAAGCAAACATACCCTTGTGAATTAACCAACTAGAGAAACTGAAACTTTGTAACTTAATCATGGTATAAAGGCCAATTTGTTTGTTGTATTTAATTTTGTTCTGGTTCAACCCCATTTATGTCGTCCGATTTTGAATTTTAGTTGTTAAAAGTTTTATTGATGACTTTTTGATGGCTTTTTATTGAAATGCTCTCATGACTGCCTGATTTGGAAATTTGCCCATGCTGAGTGCGGACACAAAGCTAGAGATTTAATGTGAATGATTTTAGTAAGAAGCAAAATGACCCTATACTATCACTATTTGATACAGATCATTGATTTCAAAAATATCATTACTTTTATACTTATACTTTACGGAATTAGGTAAGCAGGATGTGTCCATCAGGGAGAGAATGTGCATACCATTTCAATAAACATCGCAGGAATATCCATGTGTAGGTGGGATGCAGGAAACACTCAAGCTCAGTTTGGATACTCTTAAGCATGGGTTTCCGCATGTGTCAGATCCTGGCTGACCAAAACGAAAAGTCAGATTTTAGTATGTTTAATGAGTCTCTTTGCCACTGCATCATACAACCTGAACAATGAATCATAAATGTGTGATGTTTAGTAAAACCGCTTACTGTTAATGCTGAATTTGGTGGGAGAGTGAATCAGAGGCCTGAACTTACTCATGTTTTGTCCTTAAGAGCATTGTCTTAAGCTATGATTGTGTCAAATTTTGGAAAATTAACTACAATCTGCTAATTCACCGCTGGTCAGAAAATCTATTAACTTTGTATCTGAGATCATGCAAACCATGTTAATTAACTGTAATGGCCAATTGCCAAGCCAACTGCCAATTGTTGAGGAGCAAATTAACTCATTGATGTAAATCAGGCTTTTGTAGAGCATCAGTAGAGAATGACCAGTTGATGTATCCTTCACTTCTGAATTGGGCTCACAGTTTAAATGCTTAGACTTAAAGCTGGGGTGAAAGTAATACTTTAAACGAATAAATATGGGGTCAGCAGCAATATTACGATGTGGCATCTCTGAAGGTTTGCCCCTTCATCAAACATTGGGATTTCAATAGACCATCTTGTACCTTCTCCATTATCAAGGTGCGCCTCAAGACCTTCCTATTCGACTGTGGCTATGGTCATCTCCCCACCGCATGGCTCAGTGTCGGGCTCCACCACTATTAAGGACTCTGGGACTCTACCCCTCTACCCTGCATTAAGGGCGCTATATAAATGCAAGTTGTGGTTGTTGTTGTTATCCTTCCAGGGAGAGAGTACACAGTCCATTCCAACAAAGATCAATTTCTATGTAACAAAAAACAGAAGTCGCTGGGAACGCTCAGCAGGTCAGGCTGACTTTAAACAAATAAATAATGGAACCTGACGAAGGGTCGTGGACCCGAAACATTAACTCACTTTCCTTTCTCCATAGACGCTGCCTGACCTGCTGAGTGTTCCCAGCGACTTCTGCTTTTGTTTCAGATTTCCAGCATCTGCAGTATTTTGTGTTCAATTTCTATGTATTTGTGGACTTTCAGTGGTTTGGTTTAGTATTGTAATATATTTCTGTGTGTGTCAGACACCTGACTACCAAAAATATGCCCTATATAGTATTGCACTGGAGAGCCAGTCTGGACCTGATGATCTCCAATTCTGATGTGGGGTTTGAAACAAACACCTTCTAATGGCCTGACTGTATAGATCTTTCTATACTGGTTGACAGTCCTATTCGAGGTTTCAATTTTTTTACAAAACTGCATTGTTCAGTTCAATCACGAATGTTCTTAACCGAACATATGATGTTAAATTGCCTGTTTGTTCAATCTGTTCAATTAACCTCAAAAGATGACTGTAATCTAAAGTGTTTGGAAAATGATGAAATACTCCATTGCACACAATATGCTCTGGGGTTAAGAATGTTGTCTAAGTCATTGAATAGTGGAAAGGTAAAACCATGCTTTTATTTATTAAGTCACCTAACTTTTTCTTCCGTAACTACTGTGTTTCAGTGTTATCCTCTTTGTAAGCCTGCCAGTAACAACAATGATACAGTTTTGTTTGTTGCTCCTTGTACCTTTTTTTAGCTGCTGAGTTACCTTTGTTACAAGACTGAATTGTACCATAAACCAAATGTTTCGTGCACAGAGATAAAATCATGTTCACGCAGCTATTGTTGTTAAGTATATTCTGTGAAACGTCTAGAAGACGTGAAAAGTGCTATATCAAATGCAAGGATTATTATTATTAAATCTATTAGACTATGCATAGAAAATGCAAGTTCCAATTTAGCTTTTATGCTCACCAAAATATTAGCATTCAAATCAAACTTAAACTGCATCTAATGGAATTGTTCCTTCATCTTTAATATTATATAATATGATAAAACATCACAGAGCACTTCACAGGATATAATAATAATCCTTGCATTTGATATAACGCTTTTCATGTCTTCTAGATATACTATAAAATGGAGTGACTGTGTCTTTGTGGGTGAATGCGGAGGCTAATTTCCACAGTAAGGTCTTTTATTTGGGGCATTGTTGGCCAGCACACCGGGTGAAACTCACTTCTCTTTTTTAATAGAGCCACGGGATCTCTAACGTCCAACTGAGTAGGCAGATGAATCGTTACCTCATCCGAAATACGGCACCTCCAATAATGCAGCAGTTAGCCAGCACTGCACTGGAGTGTCAGCTTCGACTATATGAGTTCCAAGTCCTGACGTAGGGTTTGAACCCACAACCCTTAAGACTCAGAGTTGATAATGCAAACAACTGAGCCAGGCTATGATATATGTATGTGTGCATGCGTGACATATGATGTGGACTTCAGAGTGGATTTTTTTCTCTTGTGATTTTAGTCAATAACTACCTCACAGGATTATGATTTTTCTTTTATTTTATAAATATATTGCACAAACATGTAATATTTAAATAATTCCATTGGATTTCATCCATTTCCTATCTTAAATATACAATTACTTCACAGACATAATACTCATCTTGCTAAAGAATTGGACAAAATTAAAAACTACACAGTCATTTCTGATTAAGAAATATACAAGTGGGGCTCAAAAGGTTTTATTCATCAATGTGGTAATTTTTGAATGAAGAAGTAGAATTGAGGAGGGGGCGAGGGCGGCGGGGAAAGAATCACATCACACACTTGTGATGGGAAAATGTTGATATAGTAAAATATTTGACAAGCTTGATATGTGTGGGTCTTTGCTCTTGAGCACTATCATAGATTGATATTAGCTCCAGACAGAGAGAAGGATTGAAACACAGCCACTTTATCCTCCTGTCCAAACCTGCAGCTCAATGCTAAATATTAGCATTCCCTCCTGGAATGCGGCAATTCCATAATTTCTGCCAAAGCAGAGTGTTGTTTAAAACATCCACAGTAGTGACCCTTTTTCATGCTCTAAATCGAATGTCTTCTAGTTTGGGTGGGGATGGGAGGAAGAATTATCATCTCAATACAAAAGACAGCAAAATATCTACAACTCTTCCAGTTTGTGGTTGTGATATTGTTGGGCTTGGGTGTAGGTTGTACATTCATTAAATTATTGCACCCAAGTCATTTCTCCACACAACACATCAAATCTTGGGCTGAAGCAAAGTTGTTCTTAAGAAGTGGGAATATGGTTCTGTAGTGCAACAACAAACAGCAGTCAACCTTTTATTGCTCCTGTTAAGTCCATTCATCAGGTTTGCAATACAGTTTGATCCTGTGCTTTTTGATATGTTGAAAGGTCATGAAACATTTTGGTACAAATTCATAAATGCTCCAATTAATGCACTGTCTGTGCCAGATAGGGCCGACATTCAATTAAACATAATCCTCTAATCCCCAGACATTTTTAAAAGTTTCGGATCAAACCGAGTTATAGTGTATTAATAATACAAAAGCAAGACAAAAGCCAACTCTAAGACTCGTGGTAGATTTATAACTGATGGCAGCCAGTTCAGGTTGTAGAGCTATGGGATTAGCTGGCCCAATAATAGACTGAAGTGCAACCCAAAAGGGCCCTCACTGGAGGATTTACAGGGATAACCTGCGTGTTTGGAAAGGGCTAATGTGATTGACAAGTGTGAGTGACTGAATTGCAGTTTACTCAATAAGAAGGTTACCATTCTACAAGGCCTTGGTAAATTATCCAAGTTAAGTCGTTGAATAAATAAATGTAATCTTTTCTGTATGTGCTGGATTTTCTGGGGAATTCCGCAGAGTAGCACCTTGTGGTGCAGTACTGTGCAGGGATGAAGCCCTTCTCCTTTTTTCTCATGGTTCTTTCCTGATGGTCCATTCGAACAGTCAGCTGGATGCAGCAGCCACATTATTCAATAAGAGAAATAGTTTTTCTGTCAACACATCAGTCACTAGCATGATGATTACCTGACATTAACTGCTAGATGAAACCTGCCTCTCTGTGGTGCCTGTTCTTATATTTTTATCATTGCATAAAACACGGTACATCCTTTGTCTATAATCATGTGTAAGGCTGATTTTCAGTGTAACTATGTATGGATTCTAATGTACTCAACACATGCAGTAGATTAAGTTTGATGAAAGGGTTTCCTACAGATAGATTCTAGTTCGTTGACAAATGTTCCTAGAATCCGCATGAAACAGTGGTCAACTTCAGGTTCAGAACTCTCCACTTTAACAAATAAAAAGTAATAAACACATACCCTAGCTATAATGACGATGGGAAGTTAGCTGGATCTTAGAAGGTTGATTAGGTCTTGACGCTGAGATGAAAACTGTTTTGTCAGAAACTCCCATGAGAAATGCAAATCCTGCCCTTTATTATTCCTGGCAGCAATGGGGTGCCATTCGACCCTTTCAAGAACAGATTCCTCCTTCATTAAACAGAACTTAGACTAGCTTAGACTAACAAGTGATCTCAAAGGGTAAAACAGCACCTGTCACACCATCAAGACTGGTTCTCTGAGATTAACATTTTCAAACAGGCCCTCACTATAGCAAAACATTTTATCATAAAAGCAGAAAAATTAAAAAATGCTACAAATTCCTAACAATGACATTGCACGCTATCATTGCAGTGCTGCCTGCACCACGTGTACCATGTCCCACACCACTTTGATATGCCACTACTTTGATTCCACAGCTACAGGTTGTTCTGCTGTTCAGGTGCACTTTTGATCCATATTTCTTGCAGGATTCCAAAAAGGTCTGTGTAACTAGTTTTTCCGGCTGTTTCCTATACTTTGGAAAGGAAGTGATCCACAAGAATGTGTGCGGTAGCAGAGACAGAGCCTCAGACGGGTGCCACCTCAGGCACTGCCACTTCCATCTGGGGAGCCCTTTGTAAGGTTGTTTCTGTCTGTGACACAGGCACAGCTACGCAGTCTCTGTTTTCTGAGTATTGACAGGTTGAAGTGTTCCTGTCAATCTTCTTGCCAGTGTCTGGGCAGTTCTGTACAAAGATCACCCTGTTATATGCCTTTAGCCTTCGCCACAGTTGAATGTAGACTTTACACTGGACGTACATGAACACGAGACCTCCTGTGAATCCAATGGCTACCACCACCAGCTTTGTCCAGAAGGGCCACTCGAGGACACCTGTTAAAATTCAAAAGTTACTCCTGGTTATTCATTTCATTGCAGTCACCTTTCCATTCTCTTAATAATAATAATAATCATCCTTGTATTTGATATAGCGCCTTATCGAGACTTCTAGACGTCTCAAAGCACCTCGCAGAATATACTACAAAATGAATTGACTGTATATTTTGTAGGTAAAACGCGGCAGACAATTGCACACAGCTGTGTTCCACAAACAGTCATGGACTAAGTGATTAAATTATTATTGATGTCACCTCACTGGGAGTGACTTTGTGACACTTTGTAATGGATTTGTGAACCGAACTTCCATTTGGAATCCTATTATGAAGTGTCGCATGTTTACACATCTATTGCCATCCGTGTGTTTGTTGCTGAGTTTTATTCCAATGGAAAACCAAACATTTTACAGTTTGCTTTTTTTTGCGGGTACAGTTTGTATGTTAATGTAACTCTCTGTGTCTGCAAGTCAATTACACTTAATGATCCTAATGCAGCCAGTTCAGCTGCGTTCTTGTCACAATAAATATGCTTAGAATCAGGGATAGCTGTGCATTTTCTCTGTCCAGTATATCTATAATATCTGTATCTCTGTACGTCTGTCTACAGCTGTGTTTCCAGCAGTGGACTGCTACTAATCTATAAAGCAATCAGCTTTCTTTCACTGAAAGAAAATGCTTCGTTCTGGTCTCATTTACGTTTGAATCACATTCATTTATTTCTACAGAATTTGGTCTTGGAGAGTGCATTCTGAATGCAACATGTTTGCTGGTGTTTGCAAAGAGGAAGACTGAGTGGCAATTCTCTGTGTCTAAAGTGTGGTATTCATGGTTGGAAACACTTTGGATTTGACAAGATTCCAATTAGTGTTGCACAGCTGACAGCTCATCCAGTACTACTGCACGTGAGCCGGATGCAATACTCGTTTCGAAACCCATCACATCTCAGAGATCCACACTTCCATCCAGTCGTAATCTGTAAAACCATTTTCCCTTAAAATTGAACTCTGGAAAATTCTTAAATCCACTCCTGCTTTGGAAGCCAATTCTATTGAAGGTCTGCAGAAAACCGGCTTGCGAACCGCAACTGATTTTAAGAATTGTTCCCAAATTCTGCCCAATCTTTTACACCCAATGGTTTTTACAGATTAAGAGTACGTGAAATTTCACTTGTCACATCTATCTATCACAATCACAAACTCAGAGGTACTCAGTGTCTCATTAAATATAAGATCATCAGCAATGCCCTCCTTAGTGAATGACTGAACTAGAGATCTGAAGTAGATTTAGTTTCAATAATTGGATTTGTTTGTTGTCTAAATTAGCAGATGTCACTGACATCCTGAAGCATTGTGTTATTGCTTTTTATGCAGACTGCAAGACCTGGAACTCTATGGAAGATGCTGGGAGTTGCAAACTCTGAATCCTTGGCATATGGCTTCTCAACCTCCAGGCTTTAATGCTACAAAACATTTACATCAGCTCATATTGCAGGAGCCTGCCAGAGGAAAAGTGTGGACACACTGCTGCAGCTGTTTTCTATGAGCAAATATACAGGAGTGTTCCTTACTTGTGTTTGAACCCTTTTGAACCTGCATTAATTTGGAACCGTATTAACACATTCATCAGTCTCTGTTCCATTAGTAATATCCAACCTGCTCCAAAGTAGCTTGTGAGAGATACAATATGTATTTCATTGGGGTTCCTGAAACAACTTCTAAAAGGTTATTTCAGAGAAATGCAATCATGTAAGCTTTATGAGGTGAACTTTGTGTTTTTCATAATGTGTTTGATATGATAATTATCATTAGCACCATATAATTATTTATATATTATTATGTAACTAATGTAACAGTAAATTGATTTTCTTCCATATTTATACCGCAAAATAAAAAGTAAACAGTCCAAATATTGCCTGAGGCTGAGGGGAGTGCACAGGATGTTCACAAAGTCCTCGCAGCAGATCAGGCAGCATCCATGGAGAGAGGAAAATGAGTTAACGTTTCAGGTCTATGACCTTTCGTCAGAACTGGGGAATCAAGGAATCATTTTTAGATGGAGGAACAGAAGATGATGAGGTAGAGATCTAAAAACGTTTCCTTTGTCTTTCTTTCCCCGCCCCCTTCTCTGCTTGTCCTTATAATCTGCTCCCTTCCAAATCCCCCAGTTCCGACGAAAGGTCATAGATCTGAAACGATAACTCATTTTCCTCTCTCCATGCATGCTGCCTGACCTGCTGCGTGTTCTCAGCGACTTCTGTTACTCCCAGGTTTTTTTTCTTACAGTGAATTTTTATTTTTTGTCGCAGATGAGTCGATTGTAACAAAGTCTGATGCCAGTAACTTCCCCGTCATTCCATCCATGTTATGGGGGATGTCGCACCAAACATGGTGACCGATCATTATCTGCCATGAAAATGATGGGAGCTCACACCAATACTCTGAACATCTAAAAACAGTTAAACACATGTATACTGAATACAATTATTTACTTCTAATTACAATTATCTTCATTCTTCCACTTGTTTCAGTTGTTGGTCAGTGCATGATAGAAAAAAAACATGGGGTAACAGGACTTTGTGAGCAACTGGATTCTTACCGTTGTCATTACCCTGTTTGATCTCTTCTGCCGTTCGGTCGATCAGGACGTACAGAGACCACACAACACAAGTGATGGCGATGATGTGGAAGGTGACAGAGCAGAAAATCTTCCTCCTTTCACTCGTTGTCATTTGCAGCTTTTCCCACTGGAAGTAGACAGACCGAAAGACAGTGAGAGAGAGAAAGAGACATAGAGAGAATTAGTTTATGGTTCTGAGTAACCTTGAGACCAAGTGGTGCTGAATGTCAAAGTGACTGACAGATGAGTTAATTGTATCAGTGAAATTTGAAGTAAGGAGCTTTAGTGATCGTCAATGAAACATCAGACAGGAAGCCAATGAATGACACAAAATCGTTACAGGATTTGCCGGCAATTGTCGTGCTGGTTAATGAACCTAAATAGATAACATAGGCTTTGGTGGTGTTTGCCATTTTAGAATGAAGAGGTTTTTGTGCCCTGTTTAAACTGATCGCTTCGAGTCCAGCACTAGAGCAATGTGCTTCCCAATCTACAGGGTGTCCACTAAATCCTCTTAACCGCTGTTAGAAAACAACAATATGAGTCTACGGAGGAGCTGAAACAAGCCATCAGAGGTGCATTTCGCTTCATCACTCCATCCATGTTACAGAAGATGTGACACCAAACATGGCGACGGATCATTATCTGCCATGAAAATGATGGCGCTCAAATTCACACTGATCCTCTGGACGTCTAAATACAGTTAAACACTTGTACTGAATACAGTGAAGTACTTCTAAATACAATTATCGCCATTCTGCCACATGTTTCAGTTGTTAGTCAGTGCACTGTTGAAAAAAAACATGGGGATAACAGGACTTTGTGTTGACTCTCGTGCCCTTGCCTGGACAATGTGGAAGCTATCACCTCAGATCTGGGCTCAGTGTCTATGACAGAAATTGTGTGGTTTTTGTTAAATCGTTTTGTTGACTTCAGCTCAAGTGCTGAGAGTCGCTAACATTCCGAAGTTCGCTTTACAGTCAAGACACCAGAGAAAAACTTCCTTCTCTTCTCGAGTAATGTCATGGGATCTTTAACGTCCACTTGGAGGCAGAACCTTGGTTTAACGTCTCAGCAAAATGGCAGCACATCCAACGCGACCCCAGCACTATACTGGAGTGTCATCTGAGATTATGAGTTCAAAGTCGTGACTTGGGAATGAAGTCCACAACTTTCTGACTCAAGAGTGCTAGCAACTGACTCAAGAGTGGAAAGAGAGAAGTAGATAGGTATTCGGGGAGGACAGGATTGCAGGGCTATGGAGAGAAAGCGGGCCAGTGGGATTGAGTTGGATTGCTCTTTTAGGAGCTGGCACAGACGCGATGGGCCAAATGGCCTCTTTCTGTGCTGTACGATTCTATGATTTTGAACCAGGCTGACAATCATCCGAAAAAGGGGAAAGAGCACAACATTTCACATAGAGCTCCTATACATTATATGCATTATATTATTATGACTTTACAATATCATTAGGAAGCAATAACCAGTTAAGTATTTTCCAAACACTGCTCACAATAAAATATACCCAAGTAGCTATAGTCTTTCAGGCATATGAAAGTGCAGCACTGCCATCGTGCGGCATCATGTCAAACTACACATTATACCTTTCACTGAACATTTCTGGTATCAGTGGACTGAAGGGAATACAGTACACTTTAGATTTATATCAGGAGCGTGTCTCAAAGTGCTTTACACAGCTGACTGGGCACATGAGCTTGGGGGTGGGGGGATGGGGAGGTGATGAAGGTTTTGAACTTATAAAATTAAATTGATGGCAGAGTATGCATTCTCTGTGGGCTTATCTTGTCATTGCCTAGTTGCTGTGAAGCAGGTGGGAGAGTATCTTAATTATTTGTGCGGTGTAACAAGTCCTCGCATTCGTGCACTATATTGAGCCAACATAGCCCTGTTGGGCTACCACCGATCCCTCTACACCACCATAGCTGGCTGTGCCTTCAGCTACTACATCCCCTGATCTGTGGAACTCCTTGCCCCAATCCCTCCCTTGGTCCCCTCTTTACTTCAAATCCTATCCAAAGACTTTCCTCTTTGACCACAGCTATGGTCACCTCCCACTCCCCTCAGTTTCAGTCACTGTCCAACTCCATCACTGTACAGTGCTCCAAGATGCTATCTTGGACGAAGAGCGCTGAATAAATGCAAGTTGTTGTGGGTGAGTCCGCCTATTAGTGTGTTGTATTGAGTCCTAGTAGTGTGGTGTATCAAGTCCTCTTATTAATCTGGTGAATCGAATCCTCGTATTAGTGTAATGTATTGAGTCCTCTTATTAATGTGGTGTGTCAAATCCTCCTATTAGTGCAGTGCATCAATCCTATCAGGTTGTGCGTGGAGTACTATGGGTGTCGATTTGAGTCCTCCTATTATTGCAGTGTATTGAACCCTGTCTTTACTTTTCCATTCCAAATTTGATATTTTGAATAGATCTTGAGTCAATGACGCAGACTTTATAATAATAATATTAATAATAATAATAATCCTTGCATTTGAGACGTTGAGACATCTCTAAACGTTTCACAGAATATATCGGAAAGTATAGTGACTGTGTATTTTGTGGGCGAGACGCTGCAGTTTGACCAGTTTCCCTCCAAACAACTTGTGGTCGAGCCCGTCTGCAACCAAAAGTCGAGTTGAAGTGACCCTTCTCAGTATTGGCGGCACAAATTATGGTTGAATAAGGAGGAATACAATGCCCCTTTGATACTGTATTAGCAACATGGAAACCATTCCCCCTGAGGGTTACAATACACCGGTTATGATTGGCTCGCGCTCGCTCTTGACTGGCTCGCGCCAGCGCCTTCAGCACCTCAGGCTCTGGCAGCATCAACCTCCATGGTTGCTCACTGCAACTCACCGCCAGTCAGGAACCTAGGTGTCTTGTTCGACCCTCAACTGGCTTTTCTTCCCCACATCCAAGCCATGACCTGCTCTGCCTTCCCTCAGCTCCGTAATATCGCCCGACTCCATCACTACCTCACCTCTCAGGCCACTGAAACTCTTGCTCCTGCCTTCATCACCTCCAGTCTCGACTATGCAAACGCCCTCCTTGTCGGCCTTCCCAAATCCTCCCTCCACAGGCTGCAGATAATACAGAACTCTGCAGCCCGTGTCCTCTCCCGCACCAAACTCCGTGACCCCATCTCCCCCACTCTCGCCCAACCCATTGGCTCCCTATCCTTCAGAGGATCCAGTTCAAGATCCTGATCCTCACATACAAAGCCCTCCATGGCCTCACCCCACTCTACCTCTGCAAACTCCTAACCCCTACCAACCCTCCCGCTTCCTCTGCTCATCCGGCTCTGGCCTACTCCACGTCCCCCGACCCACCTGCCCCACCATTGGTGGAAGAGCCTTCAGCCACTCTGCCCGCGACCACTGGAATTCCATCCCCCAGTCACTTCGCCTCGCCCCCTCCTTAGTCTCCTTCAAGTCCCGCCTCAAAACCCTCCTCTTCAACCATGCCAATGGCCACCCCCCTTCCCCTCCCCTCCCTTTTACCCCCTGGACCCCAGCTCGGGTCTGAAATGCTGGAATCTGTCCAGTGCCTTGGGACGTCCTCCCGACATGAAAGGCGCTATACAAATGTAATCTTGTTGTTGTTGTTGTTTATAACCTGGGTTTGGATCCCTGACTGTCCAGCACTTTGGGACTTCCTCCTGACGTGAAAGGCGCTATAGAAATGTAATTTGTTGTTGTTGTTGCTGCAAATTTCTGATTACTTACTTAGAGAAAATCCCTATACAAGTTCATGGCACTATTGTGCTGTAGCATGACTGAGTATGATAACCCTTGCATCTCACTACAGTTGCTACTGACATTCTGCAGCAAGTCCATAAGAGGAAAGAACTGGTAGCTTAGTGCTTAGCGCGCTCGCCTCACAAGCGAGAGGACCCGGGTTTGATTCCTGAGCGGGGAGAAACTTTAGGTATGTTTCCTTATACCACATGCCTCTATTTACCTAGCAGTCAGTAGGAACCTGGCTGTTAGTCGATTTGTGGACCGCTTTCCGAGGGTAATAAACCCTCAAAAGAAAGTTGGGTCACTCAATCCATGACTGTTTGTGGGACACTGCTGTGCGCAGTTGGCTGCCGCATTCGCCCATAAAATACAGAGTCAATTCAATTTACAATATATGTGAGGCGCTTTGAGACATCTCAATGATGTGATAAGGTGCTGTATCGAATGCAATGATTATTATTGTAATTTGATTATAACTAATGTGGCTGTCAGCAGACTAGATCTCACAACTGGGAACCTCAAAACTATAGGAATATGCCCGTAACATGGTTCAACAGTAACAACAAATTGCATTTATATAGCTATATGTATATAGCTATATATTGCACTTTGGGACAACATGGTAGAGTAACTTAATGCACCAAGTATGATAGAAAAGTATAAAGACTACACAGCATTGTGTTGCAAATAGTCATGAAGTTAATAACTAATGTGTTTGGAGGACAGCTGGCCAAGAAATTGGGCAAAGCTCCCTTCTCGAATAGTGCTGGGATTGTTACAATCCATCTGAACAAGTTTAATGTCCCCATCTTGAAAGAAGACACCTCCAAGAATACAGTGCTTCTACTGGATCCGCACTTGAGTGAGGCTAGGCTGTGGGCTACAGGTTCAGTATTTAAAACTTCAACATGGAATGTGAACTCAAAACCTTCTGCTTTAGGGGCAAGATTGACTGAGCTAACTAACTGAGCAACATAGTGGCTGTGCCTGGCCTTTGAGAAAGAGCTGTCTCAATTGGATAAGTAGCTTTTTCTCGCTCCATGCACTTTATGTCCTTTTGAATGGAAAAACGCAACAGGCTGTTACTGTGCGTTCATTCCCTTCATGGCAATGTTAGTATGTGGTGACATAATCATACCCACCACTTGAGGACAGTGTTGTCTGCATTTTCTCAGCAGAAACGTGATATTAAAGACACACAGATGTCAGTGGACTCTACAGGGTAACAGATGGTCATAGCTTATAAAATGACAAAGATTTATTGTAACATCTTAGTAATCAATGTCTGATATGAAACCTGAAGAATATAATAATCGTTACATCTAGTATAGCACCTTGCATGTCGGGAGGATGTCCCAAAAGCACTTCACAGGATATACTGTAAAGTGGAATGATGGAGTGACTACAGGTGATTTTTCCGTGAACCTGGGAATCGATCTATGCAACAATGTCCCACTAAACAGCCATAAAGTGAATGACTGAAAGAGGTTGGTCTTGAGATGGACCTTGAACAAGGTGAGGAAAGGACCACATCAGAGGTACTTTGGGATGGAGTTCCAAACAGCGAGGACAGAATGGCCGAAAGCTCGCCTGCCGATGATGGGGCGTGCGACCTGAAGCCGGTCAAGGTTCACTGAGCGAAGGGAGTGTCCACGTCCATAAGGTTTGAGGAGGTCACAGTGGAGGGGTGGGTCAAGACCATGGAGGGATTTGAAGATAAGAAGGAAAGATCTTGAATTCGACTGCTGGGGAAAGGAAAGTCAATGGAACTGAGTGAGGCTTACAGAGTCTTGTAGGATCACTCTTTCAAAGAGGCAGCACAGACATGATGGACTAAAATGGCCTTCTGTGCTGTAAAACTTTGTGGTTCTGTGATTCTAAATCAATCCCTGGGAGTCCAGTGGCTTGACATCAGAATCAGAAACACAGTGAAAGATAAGACCCAAAGAAGATTAACTGACTTTTATTTAAGAGAAGGAGCTTGCTTTTGGAAGTGCTTTATCACATGAAAACATCTCAAGAGTTCTTTAGAGTAATGACTGGTTTTGATGGCAAGAGATTTTCCCCTTTAAGTAAATGACCAGGTTCAGCACTGTAAACCAGCACTGCTAATCAACAGATACCAGCGTAATGAGAGAGAATGAAACCCATGCTGCAAAACTAGTTGAAAGGAAACAGAACTCTCCGCCTGGGAACCTGAGCCACGTATTTTATTAGCAGCAAGTCTGAGCATTTATAATTACATCAACAATTGATGTGCAGCGCTGGTGGTAAAATATCACCAATGGGCTCTGGGTGGCTCGGCTCCTGTAGCTGATACCTAATGTTCTCTTTCCAAGTGTATATAACATATATTACAACATTTAACTTGACCATCTATTAACAGATTCACATTCGAGCCATAAAGTAGCAACAGTGAGGGAACCGCATTGTTTCCTGGTTGGTGGGTACTGAAGTTAGCAGACTGTATTTTTTCCAGATCCCCTGCAGGTTACGACACTCTAGTGTTCATTCTCTTCTGCTAAACTAAATCATTCAATTACAGTGCACGCGACAGGACACTGTGGGTTTACGAGCCAGTAAACCTGAGTGTCTAGAGAGCCCTTAGGGATGTGACCATTAAGCTGTTCAAAACATTTGTTTTAACCTGAGCAGAAATTCCTCCTGGATAGACACTAACTCTATTCTCTCAGCATTTCAGAACGTCTCGAATTTGCCAAATCAGATTAAATTTGAAGCTGGTTTTCTGTACTTTTTCAACAACAGGAAAACGACAGAAAACCAGCTACAAAATGAAGACTTGATTGAATTCTGCACGTTTTGAAATGTTAAGAAAATGGAGTAAATTTAGACCCAGATGGCACTTCTCCCCCAAAGCATCTTGTCATTTTGTCTCAGTTTTGATTGGTGGGATGCAATGAGGTGTATAATAGAAAGCATCCAGTTTGGCTAATATGTAGTTCAGGATGAATGGAGCTGTCTCAAGGCTAAGGAATGATAATATTCCCAATAGTGGCAGGCAGACGGGAGAAGCACTGGGGTCAATCTGGTTATTAAGTGAGCGAGCTATTGCCTCTCCAGTTTCATGGGAATTGAGAGGATTTTCCTTGAAGAAAATTGTTAAACCTCTTCAGGTGGAAACGTCAGAACAATTGGTACAATTTCCAGGAGGGTTTGAACGGAAATAAACTGACCCAGCCAGCCCCACGTGCAAAACCTGTTATGAAACCCCAAAATTACCATTTATTGTTTGGATCATCTTCCCAATGCCGTTTCTGAAAATCTCCCGAATACTAATAATAATCCTTGCAGTTGATATAGCACCTTATCGCTTCATTGAGACGTCTGAAAAGCGCTTCACAAAATATATTGTCAAGTGGAGTGACTGTGTAGCTTGTGGGCGAAAACGGCAGCCAATGGCGCACAGCAATGTCCCACAAACAGTCATGGATTGAGCGACCACATTCTTTTTGCTACAAATTACCAAATGGCCTCTGATGTCTGGTGGCTTTACCTTCCGCAGGGGCTTGAGTTTTGTCTCCATTATGAAGTCGTACTTGCAGAGTTCACAGCAGCGGGTGTCGGAGCTCTTGATCCACTGGTGCAGACAAGCCTGGTGAACAAACCGGAGTGTCCCTGTACAGCGGCAAGGTGTGATGAGTGGATTCTCCTCATCCCCTTCACAGTGGCAGATCCTGAGAAGAGAAATGGTCAGTGAGAGGACACCAAGCAAACCGAGCAGAAAGCACACTGGAAACCAATCCAGATCCCAGTCACTGGACTGCGGAGAAGCTTGAGTTGTGCTATTGATATACATGTTTATCCCTGAGTGATTTGGATTATCATGAATCTAGCTGTTTGATAGCTCTCGAGTCGCTTCCTATCCAATTGGCCACAGGTTCGAGCACCAGCCCTATCCTGAATTTCCTCTGTGCCTGCTACAAGCTGGGCGGGTTGCAACAGTTGTGTACAACACTCAAGGACAATCTGTATAGTTTTAAATGGTGAAACTCCAACAGTACCCTTACCCAGTCTGGGGTTCTCAAGCCTTGGATCTTGTTAACCGGTACTTTCTTGGATTAGGTTAGCAACAACAACAACTTGCACTTATATAATGTTGATCAGGCTGCGGAGTGTCTCAGAGTGCTGTAAAAAGGTGATTCCAAGCATGTGTTGAACTCTCGATCTGGTTGAATATTCTTTAGCATGATGATGGGTTTCCATGTGTGGCAGACACCTGGCTGACCCAATCACAGAAAAAAAGGAGTAGCAAGTAATGCCAATAAATCTTGATGGGGGGAGGTATAAAAGGTCAAATGGATGTGGTGTGTTCTACATTTCCTTCTATCACAGAACATAATTGTCAGAGACAACAGAAATGTGCATTGCACAGGTGCCAGCTATACAGAGGAAAAGGGTGAGCTAGTATTGAGCCCAAACCCGGGAATACAAAGTACAAATAATATGTGGGAATCTGAGACCGTGTGCAGTATGCATCATAGCAACAACATAATATAAAATGAATTACCTGACCTTAAGCTTAGAGGAAAGTGGCCCTTAATGTCCAGCCGGACTTAGTAAAGATTGACGTGCAATTGGATTACAGGAAACAAATGAGTATGTTAAAACAGAACTAAAAGCCAGAGAGGGTTTATGGAAATGCTCAAATGCATCTCTGCTGGGTTCACAATGGAATGACTTTGATAATGTCCCTAGATACATGCTTGGGCTGTGCAGGTTTCAAGTTGTCTTACTTAAGTGTATTTCACTGATGTGTATATGTGTTTGGGGGAAATCAGGGGCGGGGTAAGTCTGTCTAGAAGTATTTTCATTAAGTACGAGCTAGGAACTAAAATATACAGAATAAAAAGCTTTCCCGCTGCTTGTCCAGCTAGGACCACCTTACATGTTAGAGCTTTGGCTTGCAGGGTTAACAGGAGCTGAGTGGGATGACTCCCTGCCCCCATGGACTGGTCGGCCTTTCCAGTTCCTGCCGATCAGCCAGGCTGGCTGTGCTGTCACCAGCAGTGCCCTGGAATACTGCGGACCCGTCTGTCTTAAGACCTGGATTTCCGAAACCGCCACAGACATTCCGTTGCTAAACATGTCACCTTGGAGCCAGTTCAGCTCCAAGAAGACCCCGCTTATCTCCCCCCACAAGGAGGATAGTCACACCCGACAAGTGTGGGTTTGAGTCCTCACAAGGTGGATGGTAGGTACCAGGAACTCCCTCCAAGCTTCCTGTTGGGTCTATTATTCATTGTGACAAAGTGGGGTAAAGTATGTGGTGCTTCATTGCATGTTTCCTTGTGTTAATTAATGAAAGGCACACAATATGAAATGCCGCAAATGTTATCCCATACATTGGAGATCATGAGGAGCAGGTTTGTTCCAGAGGTGACTATCACTGGGGAAGTGTCACCGGAGTAGACTGTCTCCGCTCACTGATTTCTGTGATTTCAGCTGGAAGGGCTGTTGTGGCAGGTGGCTTGGGGTCAGGTGAGAGGGGAGCAGTGTGCCATGAAACTATTCTCAGTGGTTAGAGCACTCGCCTTCCAAGCGAGACACCTGGGTTCAATTCCCAGCATGGCGAAACCTTGAGTAAGTTTCCTTACTCCACACGCCTAATAATAATCCCTCCAAAACAAAACAATAATAAATTGGTCATTTTCAATCCATGACTGTTTGTGAGATACTGCTGTGCGCAATTAGTTGCCACGTTTCCCCCACAAATATACAGTTAATTCACTTTACAGTCTATTCTGTGAAGCACTTTGAGATGTTGAGAAGACGTGAAAAGTGCTACATCAAATTCAAGGATTATATTATTCTTATTCTTGGAAAGTAATGCTTAGAAAGTTACTCTCTCTCACTCTTTCATTCATGCACAATCCGCAAAAACAGAGTTGTTCATCTATGAGCAAAATCTCTAAGCAATGAACAAACTAAGTGAGCGCAGCCCAGCAAAAGTCTTCAATCAGCTGATTTTAGGATCAAGAAGAAAGGGAGGGAATAAATGGCAGGTCACCGCAACACTTAAGCCACCGTTCCTCCTTTCCCAACTCCTGCTTAGAATTCTCCAGCACGAGAAAAAGGAGGAAAGAATAATCCTTGCATTTGGCACAGCACCTTTCACATTGGGAGGATGTCTCAAAGAGCTTTGGAGGATTTACTGCAATGTGTAGTGACTGTGTATTTTATAGGCAAATGCGGCAGCCAATTTGCAAACAGTAATGTCCCGCAAATAGCCATGAAGTGAATGATCAATTTACCTGGCAAATTGTCGGCAAGGACACCGAGAGAAACTCTTTTATCTACTTGAAGTGGTCAGGTTCACCTGATTCTTTCAAAAGATCTTTATTGAATTGTCAGTCAATCATGTTCTCCCTTTCTCTCTCTGCTCAAAAACCTGATAAAGAATTGAATGGGAAACTGAAGGAAGATTCGCTACAACTTCACAGCAGCAAGGAGAGACATATATACAAATAAAATAATAATCCTTGCACTCAATATTGTGACTTTCACATTGGAAAGATGTCTCAAGGTGCTTTACAAGATTTAATGTGAAGTATAGCAACTGCGTATTTGTAGGTGAAAGCGACAGCCAATTTGCAAATATCAGCGTCCCACAAACAGCCATGAATATTCATTGCATGTTAAAGTTTGCCATTTAAGATGAAAGAATTGGGGTGGGGGGAGGGATAATAATCTTCATTTTTCAATAGATTTATGGCCTTTGTCAGTGTGTGTTTATAACATAATTTGTCCAATCCTGGTAAATTTACTGACATGTGGAGAATAATACACTCTCTGCCAATGTCAGTAAGTGAGTTTGTAAGCTTTGTTAACCCGCTTCAAAAATTAAAGGCTTGACTTGATTTGTGTTGCTAGTTATGATTCTCATTCTGTAATAATATATAATTTTTAGTATAATGTGACTTGTTACTACCATTCAAGCCTTTCCTGGGTATCATACTATAGTTGTGCTTCATACGAACATTTCTGCAATTGAAAAGTCAGAAACTAACAATAAATACAAATTTAGCACTTTGAATAACTTCCTGATCATCTCTGTGAATGAACTTAATCGAGTGGAATATTGAAAGTCGCTATTTCCAAAAGGTCATTGTTCTTCAAAAGTAATTTTAACGTGAAGTAGGTTTTCAGTACAACTGGGGAAATCAAGCCTCTGCTGTATTCTATGGTCCCTGTGGTACATTGGAAATGCTGGTATCCTTTAAGATTCAATATTACAAGTCATTTTAACCTTTGCTTGATGTTTATTAAGTCTTTGATGGGAAAGGAATATTGCAGGATGCATATGCATTTGTTAGCATTTGTTCACCAGTATATTTATATTATAATAATAACTCTTGCATTTGATAAAGTGCCTTATCAGGTCATTGAGATACTTCAAAGTGTTTCACAGGATTTTACTGTGACGTGTAGTGACTGTATTTCTAAGCAAAAGTGGCAGCCAATTTATGCACAGCCATGAAGTGAGTCACTACTTTTACTTTAGGGATTGTTGGCCAGATGGGTCAATTTATATCACAAATTCCACTCCCTGCCCTCCCTGTTTAAGCACTCTGGGACGCTACTGTGTGTGAAGGGCACTATAGAAATGCAAGTTGTTGTTGTTCACAAAGTCAATGCGATATTAATTGACAAATTGTATTACTGGAAACTAGTAGAGGCCTGAAGTTCCTATTCTAGGGCAGGAATCAGGTGTAGGTGGCATTTGGCAATAATACTCTGAAACTATCAGATCAAGTCTCTCTCCACCCACCTCCGCACATATCGCCAGCTCCAGACAGCAAAATCTAGTTTTCAATTGCCTACAGTTAGCCCATTCAGAGATCATTGCTTTGTGAGGCACCTGGTTTGAGTCAACTCACAGTTAGAGCAGACCAGCAGCATTCACACAGGGCAGCGTAGCGATGAGGAGCGACCACATGGGGAGTCACCCAGCACAAGTGATGAAGGGCTAATGCGACAGCAATATTCTGATGGATCTGCTGCTAGCTAATGGAGATCACTTAATGGTAGCAAGACTTTTAAAGATCTTGGAGAACTAACCGCAGCAGTTGCTCTTTAGAGCAAGAGCATTATACAGTTTATTAGCTGCACGCAACAATAACTGTCTCTGCTCCATATAGAAATTCAGACATGTCTGAGGAAGAGGGAGATCCTGATCAACCCTGCATTATTTGAAGCAATTTAACTTTAACATAAAAGTGACATTATCCACTGAATGACTGAGCACTGTGTCACCCTTTGTATATCCAGAATTTGCATTAGAAACACCTGCATCAAAGTGAACTGCGGTCATTTAAATGAATGGCAACAACCTTTAAATATTAACCAGAAGGAAAAAAAATTTTCATATGCGTATAATATCCATATGTACACATGAATGTTACTGTCATGGAAATTCTCTCAGTTTCCAGAAACGTCATCAAGGCTAGTCTTCTGATAGACAGACCACACGGGATACAGCCTTCAGAATAAGTGGGAAGGAATTATTCTAAAACAAACCAAACAGGTTCACCTGTGGATCGAAAGACATTTTAAAATAGCATTTGATGCTGAATGACACAGAATGCGCACATTAACACCACTGGCTCACATTAGTGGATATAGACCAACCTGCAGACGTCCCCTTCATCAGGCCAATCATCTACAGTTTGAGGTTGGGTAGGGTTATCTCTCCCTTCTTTCTCTGAATTGTAAGTTGCTCTCCCCTCAGGTATAGACAGGGCAGTGCCATTGAAACTTCTCTCACTATATTTTTTTGTCATGACTTCTTCATCTTCTACAAGGGTTGGGGTCTCGGAGTTCTTCCTTGTGAATTTCCCTTTGCTTTTCACCTGTTTCCTTGAAGGTTTTTCTGTGTCAACAGAAGACGTCGAAGAGGACGAACAGCACGTTTTCCTCGTTTATTTTTATGGGAGACCCTTTCTCTTCCTCGGACTGCTACTGGATTCCTATCAACGGGCAGCGAGTGGTTCTCAATTGCATTACAGTCATTTTCAGAATCCACCGACAGCAGGGCTGGAAAAGATGGGACAGGCACCTGGTCCAGATCGTTGTGAGGTTTTTTCCTCCTCCTGCCCTTCCTGAAGGCCCTCATCCTCTCTGAGCTCCTTTTCCTGACTTGAGCCCAGTGATTTTCATCTGAAGATGATTCAGAATCATGCCTGCCAAATCCATTTATTTTTGTACAAAGAGACCTTGACTGCTTGTCTGGCTGCTTGTTGTGATCGTGCGATAGCTCGCATCTTTCACAGAGCTCCCTCTGCTTTCTAATTCTTCTCTTTACTTGTTTCTTACCAGAATCCCTGCTAAGATTGCTCAGGACTGTGACAGGAGTTGAGTATGTGCCGTCAGCTTCACAACAGGTAGTTGATCTGAACGCATGCAGAGATGGAAAGTGGAAAGTAGAGAAGAGAAGGTGATGGGAGAGTATGACAGACATGGCAAAAGAAATGAAAACAAATCAAATTAGTAATCGTATAAACAGCTAGCATAAACCAATGAAGTAGAAAAAACAAACGAATGAAAGGTAAATGAAGACAAGCTGAGACTGAGACTAGAGGTAAACAGACACAAGGAAGCTAAAAACAATTCAAAGTGGTGACTAACCAGGCAATGAGAATTACTACAGGACTATTTCTAACAGGAATCGTTAATAAAGAAACCAGAAGGACATCACGCCAATGTACATCACATCACAGGAACACCATGCCAACACACTGTACTATCAGAACGGAGTTCCCAGTGTGACGTGCGTATGGCCTTCCAGTTATCACAAGGAGTCCCCAGTCGGATTCCTTATTAAAGAACACCATTAGAAATCGCCAGACATTACATCCCAATAGTGATGTAAAAGCCTTGATAAATGAACTCTGCTGTACTTTGTAGGCTGATATACCTGCAAATGTCCTGAGTAGATGGGCTGACAGATGTACGTGACAGGCTCCTGGGAGCGTTCCCTGTTGTAGGGCTACTTGCCTGTAAAAAAGATAGAAAGTCATCAGTATGCATTGCAACCACATCCGCTGGATCAACTTGAACGTCTGTGTTAAGTACTTTGAACCTGTTTGAAAATCAAGAGATGTGTATGACACTTATTCACTCATTTAAAAGAAATCCCCTGGCAGCTCAGTGTTTAAATGATGATTCTCAAAAGGTCATAGGCTAGAACTGCATTTCACTTGAACATAACTGGTTGGTTATTCAGAAATGTTTCTCAGTAGTAACCATTTTGCCCACAAAACACAGTCACTGTACTTAACCAATATATCATGTGAAGTGCTTTGGTACGTCCTTCCCATGTGAAAGGCATTGCACCAAAAATGAGGATTATGATTATTATTATATTTTAGAGGAGGAATATCTGATAATTCCTGACTCTAGCAACTCAAATTGAATGTGAAGACATAGTGTCGTATGTGGAGTGGTCCCTGGGACAGACCTTACTCACCCTTAAAAAATAATCCTTGCATTTGATATGGCGCCTTTCACTTTGGTAGGACATTTCAAGGATTTGCTGTAAAGTGAGCATAAACGAGGGAGAAGGGAGCAGAGAGGGATATCCAGAGAGGGGAATAAGAGGAATGGGGGCTCATGTCGATTATAAACATAGGCAATGAACTAATTTGGCCAAATCGTCTGTTACCCTGCCATATCACTCATTGTAACTCTAGGCGCAGTGGCTGCTGTCCCACAGCAAATTGTTATCTCACAAACTAAATGAAGTGAGGAACCAATTTTATTTGAGGTATCGGAGGCCAACATACTGGGAGAAACTCCCTCCACTTTTCGAATAGTGCCATAGGATCTTTAACAGGCAGGTGGGACCTCCGTTTAATGTCTCATCCAAAGGGCTGCAACTCTGGCAATGCAGCACACCACCAGCACTGGATTGGAGCATCAGTCTAGACTATGTGAGTTCAAAGTCCTGACGTGGGGCTAGAACCCACACCCTTCTGACTCCGCGACGAGACTGCTACCAACTGAACTACACTGACAATTCTAACTTGGAATAAAAGAGATGTGTCTCCTGTTTTGGCTTGTGAGATATAAACAAAATGTAGATTTAGTGAATAAAGCAACTTCTATCTTATTACCTTCTGCTGCCAGTGCTCCAAATGAGGTTCATTCCATTGATCAAAAAGCAACGGTTATTCCAAAACTGAGATCCCGCTGTGAATTTTCTAGGTTTTAATTATTTTGCATAAACAAAAGATTTCAACACCAGCTCTGCCAATGGGGATTTTCAAAACAAGTTGAGATGTTTACCATACATTAATGCACTTAGTTCTCCTCCCATTGCCAGGATTGCTAGCCTGAAGCAAATAGATAAGAGGGCTCAACTGATATATTCAATACTGTAGCTTCTTCTAGGTTTACAGGTCAGGTCTTGGATGGAAAATGAGGAATAAACCTAATAAGTTATACATTTCTGGTGTTCTGCCCCATGAGATTGCTCACAATACTGCCCAATGAATAAGCCGGCAAGTAAGGGAAAGCTTGTGCATAAGACTCTAAAAATGCAAATCGCTTCTGTTTTGAAAAGAATATTGGAAGAAATTTATGATAATAATATTTAGAAAATAATATCTTTTTGAATTGCATAATAAAGAATGGATGAGTTACTGCCTAGCACAGAATTAACAAGGGTTGGGGGGGGGAATAAACATCTCTTATGCCCTCCCCTGGCTAATAATTAACTTGCCAAATCAAGAGAATAACTTCCAATTCATTCTGTTACTATGATAACTAGTCAGAATGCCCCTCTCCCCCCACTCCAAACAAAACAAGACACTCTGGAGTGAAATGCATATTAAAACATCATCTGCATTCAGAAATATTTTGCGGATTCCAACTTGGCTGTTAGCATTCATTTGATAGCATTCTCTCCTGTGAATCAGAAAGCTGTGGGTCCAAACCCCACAACGGGACTTTGAATTCACAGTTTAGACTGACTCGCCAGTGTAATGCTGGGGTGTGTCGCCCTATAGATAAAGCGAAGGCTCATCTGCCTGTTCAGGAGGATGTTAAAGATCTTATGGCACTATTCAAAAAGAGAATGGAGTTTCCCCAAGTGTCCTACAAATATACAGTCATTATATTTACACGTAATATCCTATGAATCACTTTGAGATGTCTGAATGACATGGTAAAGCACTATATCAAATGCAAGGATTGACATGGACAATACAAACAGTAGTTTTAAGACATAAAAGACATCCTTCTTGAGTATCTCTTTACAAGGAATAAAATATGGAAGTGACATCCATAACACTGAGATCAGTTCAGGTATCTCTCCCTAAAACCCAATCTATAAAAGTACAAAATCGGAATATTCGGACTCTGCAAAGACCTTTTTCAGGACTACTGGTGACAGTAAATGCAGATGTCTTGGAATCCGTGCATTTTGAATCTAAGGGACTGATTGTTCCCATTGATTGCGATTGGGAGTGGAAGAACAATAGAAGTACGGAAAGCTATAGTAGAGAAGTCATTTGGCACCTTGCTGTTGTGCTGGCTCTTTGAAAGAACAATCCATTCAGTCTTATTTACTGGCCTTGTCCCCATACTCCTGAAATCACTCCTTTTTAGATACCTATCTAGCTCCCTCTTGAAAGCAACTATGAATCCTACATCAACCACTATATTTGGCAGGGCATTCCACATCCTAACAACTGCCCTCTGAACACCCTGAATGTGCAAAATGCATTAATATTAAGAGGAACTCCTGCACCTTACAAATACCACTTGACATTTATAGAGCTTGTAAAAAGCAAACAAAATTTTATATAACATGTTGATGTTTATGGAAAGATTATGAGTGTCTCTCCAAGGAGAGAGTGCACACTACATGACCGACAAAGGTAAATTTTCATGCATTTGTGGAAGTGTTGGTTTGGTTTAGATTCTCTTTAGCATGGCGATAGGTTTTCAGAACCTGGCTGATAAAACAAAGCACATTGGAGAGGATCCTTTCCTTTGTTCATTGGAATAGTGCTCATAGCAGTTTGCATTATTCTGATAGTGAGTAAGTTTTGCCAGCAACTTGTAAATTCTAACAAGAACTGACATAGAATAAGGCAACATTTAAACAAAAGCCTTCAATGTATCCAACTAGGCCTGAGGTACCACAATTGATTGAGTGAATACTTTTTCTGGACTGGTTTAATATGCAAAGTAATCTGGTGGTTCTTAGCATTTCATTCTTGTAACACAACAACGACACCAACTTATACAGCACCTCTCACCTAAAAAATAACTCGCAAAGCCCTTTATATATTAAAATAAATTAGAAAAGAAATAAGTGTTGTCATTAGACAAACGTGTGAGCCAGCCTGCGTCAGCGATAAGGTGAGTTGACAATTCTTTCAAACTTGTGGGGTTCTCAAAATTGGTTAAATTTAGATGAAGAGGAAATATAAGCCAGGACAAGTGGGAGAAAAAGGCCAAGGTTTTTGGTGAGCTAGTGGTGAGGATGTTAATTCACATCCAACTGGATCACAAGACAGATAAAACCCAATTTAACGAATCCATCAAAAAAAAATCTGGAAATGAATATATAGTAAACACACTTCCATCAGTTCTTCCAAATACAATGCATTCCCCCTGCATATGGAGAACCTGGACTTTGTTTCTTTCCTGGTAACAGTGTGTAACTAAGAGATTAATAGTTATCCCCACCAATTACTTGTTGTATTGCATTTTTTACAAGGTCATGTGCCACATTACCCAACTCTCTTTGAAAAGCACAAACTAACACACAGATCTGAAGTTCACAGAGTAAAGAAAGATAAGCAAGATGTAAAAATAAAAATAACATCAGAAACAATGTAATGGGGGGCTAAATTGTTGGGACTCATCATGGGAGTCCTTAATATAGAGGATATAGTTTTCAAGTTCAGTCACGGGAATTTCACAATTACATCCAGGCAAGTGGAAGCTTTTTCAACTATTCTAATTCAGCAGCTTCAACGTGTCGAGGTCCATCCTCCCATCCAATTGTCCATTTAATTTATTTTTGCCCACTTGGGAGAGCAAAACTCAAGTCAATTCACCACAAGAGGGCAGCATTTTGCTGGCTTCTTTTTACTCATAAACAGGATCTGGATTTCCCAGCCTTGTTCACAAATTGGATAAAGTACCCACTACCTCCCATTGTTCAGAGTTTATTTTGCATGGGAAAAAGCCTGTCTGCCACACCACAGTTTCACTTCATGGCTGTGCAACATTACTGTAAGTAAATTAGCAGCTGCGTTCTCCAACACACAGTCACAACGCTTTACCATAAATCCTGCAAAGTGCTTTGAGGCACTTCATTGATGTGTTAAGGGGCTATATCAATTGCAAGGAATATTATTATTCGTAGCAATGTTAATTGGTATAAATACTATTTTTCAGGTATATTGCATGGCTCCATCTAAATTAACAGATTACTCTTATTTAAAGGTGTAATAATAATAAATAATGGTAATCCTTGCATTTGATATAGCGCTTTCCATGTCTTCTAGATGTCTCAAAATGCTTCACACAATATACTGTAAAGTGAATTAACTGTATATTTGTGGGCAAAACGTGGCAATTGCGCACAGCAGTGTCCCACAAACAGTCGTGGATTGAAGTGACCAATTTATTATTGGTTTTTTTTCTTGAGGGATTATTATCAGGTGTGTGGAGAAAGGAAACTTGCCTAAAGGTTTCGACCTGCCGGGGATCAAACCCAGGTCTCTTGCTTGTGAGGCAAGTGCTCTAACCACTGAGCTACAGGTCTCCAAATAAATAATTTAAAAGAGAATTGTATACTTGAGAAAAATACTGTCTGCCAAGCTTTCTCACTGCTTGTCTAGCTAGGACCACCCTACCTGTGAGAGGTTTAGTTGCAAGGTTACCGAGATCGCCACAAAGGGCTGGTTCGAAAAAATAGCACTGAAAGGATATGGTGAAAGAGCAAGGAATGAAACTAGAGTAGATAGTGCTAGTTA